CAAAAAGAGAATAATCTTTTTTAATTTCTTGTTATATTTTATATCTAATCGTTTTCACGTCTCTTGATAATTAGTTTAATTAATCTTAATAGTGTCTACAGTTATTAATTTCACCTTTAGACTGTCTTGATGTTTGGGGATCTTCTGGACTATCAACGACTAAATTGGAACTCATGAAACGACGATTCCAGAATTCTTCAATTCTGCGTTTCACAACATTCATATTTGTTTCATAAATATGACTCTCCGTATTGTTTTCGCTTGCCATATTAATAATAAGTTAAATAACTCTGAATACTTACACGAGATGATAGCTTATTTTGACGAGCAAACACGAAGTGATCCCAATGTAAACATAGACAACGTTTATATATGATAAATTCATGATTGTCATGGAGAGTTAATTCGTTGAATTCTTATATTATAAGCCACTTAAATATTTTAAAAATAAAAATAATTGTTAATCATTTAAAAAATTCATCGGAAGTGATGTTAATACCAAAGTGGTTTAACTATCATTATAATCTCCGTAGTATTTCAACAGTTATTTATATTGATATCGAACATTTTTATTAATTTATCTTTTAAGTTAGTGATTTGACGTCTTACATAATGTGAAAAAAGAGTTGATAATATTACTACAGATTTTTCTTTAGTTTTAGGCGAATGTGTCCTTAAGTATTTATTTTAAGGGTTATTAAAAATAGTGATAATTATTATGAATTTAAAAATATATAGTATGATTTTTTGTTAAAATTTTAATTAACTTTAAAACGGTTATTTGTTTTAAAAATTAATTTTCGTTAAAAAGTAAATTTATTTGATAATCATTAAGTCTCTTTCAATAAAGATATAAAATGAATATTGTAAGAAATATTAGGATGATTAATGATATCCTTCTTGAATATATCTTTTTACTATATAGATCTAACTTCCTCCAGCGTTATCAAGCTGACTTTGAAAGTAAAACCTTTATAAGTATACTAATACATAACGTCCGCGCATCAAACTGTCCGATGCGACTTCGACACGATCGCAATGTAATTATTATTGTTCATCGACATAATATTAATAACGTTATTATTATAATATTTATAACGTTTATAATCAGCTGTTAGATTTGCCAGAGTTTTATATAATAGCGTTATTAAGTGTTGCCCTAGTCGTTTCGATTTTTAAAATCTTAAAAATTTCAAAAGGCGATTGGACACTGATTTATTGTTAATGTAATCAGTGGTGCAACCTGAAAATAATTTTGTCTTAGCGAGAGGGAGTTATTATTTCATTTTGCTTGCCTATTTAGCTTCACCTATTAATATATGTGGATAGAACAAAAAAATTACAGAGAACAAATTTTTATCAATAGAAATTTAGTTAACAGACCCTCTTGAAGAAAAGGATTTAAGAATAAGTTGGAGTAAGACAGAGTATATAGAGTACGAGTTTGACAAAGGAGAACACGAGGGAGGTGAAATGTGGAGTTCAATGACAATAGGCGAGGACGTGATAGGAGAGGTGGAAATGTATTTTCTGATTACACTCTATAAAAAACTAAACTAATATATGTGTAAATTCTAAATATAATAATTTTTAACAAAATTGTTTCAGCATTGGTCATGAACTAATATAATAGAACTTGATTATAACAAATAGTTTCTTAATCAATTACGACTTAAATAAAGAATATAATTTTTTTTTCAATTGTTAAAGTAAAATATCAAGTGAGAATTTGGGTTCGTTGGTGTTATTAATTGTTATTACGAAACGCGAACACGACGCAGTGGACGGACGGCAATGGCGTATGCGTCGGTGGTAGTTATTATATTGACAATATACAAGTAGTTCCAAATTGGAATTTAGTGGAAGTCGAACAAAAAGCTATAGCAGACGGCAATAGCATATACGTCAGTAGTTATTATACAGTATAAACTTTGGTCCATGGAATTATTTGGAAGTTCTCGTTAGTAGCGGACGGTCCGTGTTTTTCCCACAATTTTTATAATTATGCATAGTTATTAGAGATGTTAAGTTCGTGAACGAATAGTTCATTTGAACTATTCACTTAGATGAACTATTCTGAACTGTTTCAGTACCTGTAACTTAACAGTTCACAGTTCGAAAAAAATTGGTAGCAATGTATAAATGAAATAGTTCGCGAACTTCTTTAAAAATTCTTTGTGGTTCGTTGTTCGAAATACTGTAAATGGTTAATAGCTGTTTACAATTAGATAACAAATAAATTATATTGTTAAAATGTTACAGGGTTTTTAACTGTTTAACAATAAAATAAATTCATACTATGTAAAAATATTAGATCAAATTTCTGATTTAACTTAAGACTACTGGTCAGTATATCTACCTTGAATTAGGTGATAATGATAACATGAGCCATGAGGGTATTAATAATAATTTTTTCTTAGTTTATGATGTTTAGGTTAAGGGTTAGTTTATAACTTAATTGCCCATAAGTAGTGTGAACTACAACTGAACTGTGTACTGCTATACTAATAGTGATAAAATGAATAGTTCATTGCCAAACAATATCAGCATGATCAATAAAATTAGTGAACTTAAGAATAGTTCATTTGAACTATTCACTTGAATGAACTATGAACTAATGAACTATTCACAAAAATGAACTAAACTTTCCATCTCTAATAGTAATTGACAAATATGTACTAATTATAGTTGAGCAAATATAATATTTGTATTTATTTATCACAAAGTAAATAAAAAAAATAAAAATTAGTTTTAGTGTTTTCTTGAATATATATGTATGTATATTTATATTTAGTCATTACCGAGTAATGGATCAAATACGTTTTGCTGTTATAACGGCCCATCTATATTCTACTCGAGACGTTTCATGTGAGTCACTGTAAATATTGGTTTTATTGGGAAATAATCTACCGTTATAATAAGCAGAAGGTTTATTAGTGCATAAGGCTCAGTTGGAAAATTGGAGAATTTACGAGCAAATGAATTAACCTTGTGTAAAACATAAAGTAAACATTAACTGTTACTATTTCTTCCAAGTAACAGTTTGTTATTGTTACTTATAAATCAGTAAAGTGTTACTGTTATTTTTTCCCACCACTAATATGAAACCAATATTCTGTGAGTTGCTCTATAACAGAGGCTTTGACTAGTTGACTAGTACTTCTATTATCTTATACGTACAAAAGAATTATTGTTACTTAATTATTAATGTTACAGTTGTATAACCGTAATCATAGGTACGTACATAGGCGACAAGGGAGTTTTTGCTGCCTCTAATTGGTTCAATTTTACTAAACAATTGGTATTTATTTAAGATAATACTATCATATTATACTATATAAAATTTGCAATATGAGTTTAAAAGACATCTCGCATGTTTCATAAAATGTAGACCTTTACAAATATTTGATGACCCCACCTGAAACTCTGCTCACGCTTATAACTAATTAATATGTTTTTGATTATAACAATCACTATCATGAACAAATATGAGTTTGTTTAATTCATATTTTATTTTTATAAATTATTAGTTATTAATGAATAATTTTAGGAATAACCCTTTTGACATTTGTATAATTTTGCTCCCATTTATACTGTAGTTGCTTTTGTGTTTAATATTCTTTCATTCTAGCTTTTTAAGTGCACCCAGTTAAATAATGTAGTATCTAGTTAGTAAAAAATTCTACTTGAATCTTCTTCTTATTCCTGGCCTTGATCCCACCTACTTTGTGTCGGCCACAATAAAAGTTCTACTTGAATATATTTGAAGTAAATTATTATAGTAGTACATACCAAAAAAATTAAATTTTATTGAATTTTTCAATAGATATTTTTATTTAATCAATACATCAAATTATTCTTCAATTTTGGTAAGTATCTGTTGGATATCTTAGTGTAATAATAATTCTGAATGTTTCATTTCTATCTTTTTAACTTTTACCATATATTAAATGTAGTAGTAATTTAATTATTTCAGTCCAACTCATAAAAAATAATTTTCAGAATATATACTAAAGAAATAAAGTTTTTTTATTCGTTTGACCCATAGGTTTTTTTTTACATAAAATTATAGAAAAATATAATTAAAATAGTTACATGAGAAGTATTTAATACACTTTTTCACTTATAATAAAAACTAAAAAACAAAAATTATTCATACAAGAAAAAAAAGAAATTTTAATACAATAGAAAGAAGATAAAGAAATAACACTAATAAGTTAAATAATACTTCACTACAATTCAATAATTTACAATACTGAAATAACTTTTTTTTTTTACCAAATTTTTTTTTTTAATTATTTGTAACTATTTTAACAACTGTCATAGAAGATATAAATTAAATATATTAATATTGTTCAACAAATTAACTTTACAAAAAACCTTAATTATTAATAAAAATATGTATAAAGATAGCTTAAATTAACACTACCATTAATTAAATTAATGAGTTATGTACAATACTATAGGATTTTTATGTTTTAATTTTTAAAAAATTATTTTAATGCAATTAAAATGTATAAATAATTGATTAAAATTTTGTTCATTAAATCCATATGCATCACCTAACAAATCATAATATGAGGCATTACTTCATAAAAATAAATTAATTAATTAACAAAAATGTATTAATTTTTATAATTATTTAAAGTTCTATTTTAAATTAGCTATACAAAAAAACTAATAAATTTTAAACAATTTCTAAAACTACTTGATATAGACTATTACATCACTAAATACTCAAAAATATATAACCCTTCTAAAAGTAATGGTGAAAAAATAAGTTAACAACTAGTTAATAAAAATATACACAAAATAATTTTATTATTACTTATTATCACACAATGATTTCAATACATGCTTATTAATTTTATACCTAAATGATTATAATGTAGGTATATTAAAGATAAATAAAGAATCTTCTTCTTTTTTCATCCAATGAATAAAACTATTTATTGCTTCCATAGCATTTTTTTTTGATATAAGTGGTTCAAAACATAAGTATAACTCAATATCATCAGTTGCCTAGAAAAATATAAAATAAACCATCAACTTGAGAGTGTTAAAATGATAGAATTTCAGTACTAGTTAAAATAAGTAATGTGACAATTATTTATTTTTCTTATAATATTCTAAGATAATGGTAATAGTCAATAGCACAATAACCAGTTTTTATCATAAATAATTTATGAAATGTTTTAATAATAATTACATCTTTGATGAACCATAAGAATTTTTAAGTAAAATTCAGTCTTTTATTTAGAATTATTAATATGATTATGATATACTAAATACTGGTACCATTACCCTAAACTTAATTAAATCTAGGATAATACTAACCAAAATTGATGAAAATTAATTCAAAAAATTTGTTTTATGTTAGTGTACTTCTACAAGGTGATTCTTGTATAAACAATGTTTTAATTAAAAAAAATTATTGATCATTAACAATTTTTGCCCCATTATTTCAGAAGTTATCATTTTAAAATATAGGCTAAAAGTGAGGCATGGATATGATAATATTTATCATTAGACGTTTCTCACAGAACCTTCTCTTTTCTAGGTGTAAAAATAATAATAACTTTTGAACTACTGATTTATAAGTGGTTTGACTAGTCATTTCTTAATAAGATCATCTTTTATTTTATAAGCTAGCTAAATATGTATGTTGTTATTCAAAAAAATAAAATTGAAACACTTATAAAGTATAAAGAATGAATTACAAAAGTATTTACCCACTTATAAATCAAGAAGTATATATATAAAAAAAAATTACCATTACTAATAATTATTTTAAGAGAAATTGAGTGGCCAGTGTTAAAAGAATCACATTGTATAGTATACCTATATTAAAAAATACTTGTGCATTTTAAAAACACATTTAAAAATGTGATGATAACACTTATTTTAATTTAAGGAGAACAATTAATTTTAGATAGATTTTAATTGTCACATAACCTGACAAATGTGGATAAATAATACTTAACATACCCAAGCAAGCATAGTCTCAGCAGATAATTGCTGATAAATTACTTTTAATGTGCGTCCAGGGAAATTTAATTGACTATTTAAGGAACAATAAGTAGATACAAGATTTTTTTGCAGTTCATTAGTAGTATAAGGTATGGAGAAAGGAGGACACCAATGTTGTGAACGATTTTTATTCTTGTACAATAAATGCCTCAAGCCTACAATATTTACTCTGGATAAGTTCAAAGGTTCTCTATTCATTGCTTCATTAATTACTTGTAAACAATCATTACGGCGCATTTTCTATTGAAATAATTTTAAAAGTTAGTATTTTGATTATCTTAAAAGCATTGTTAAAATAAATAATTAGAGAAATACATACTTCAGTAATTTTTCTTTTAGCATCTGAGAGAGAAAAAAATAAATTATGATCAATAGTTAATAAAACTAAACATGCTTGGCAATCTTCTGCTAAATAAGATATATGAGCATGCATGAATCCACTGTTGAATATAAATAAAGTAATAATTAAATTCATGTATGAATAGAAAAAATTTTAAATAAGACCTTGCATCAAAAGTAGGTAAACAAATAGGTGTCCAACTTTCAGCAGTTTTAAAAGACTCAGTTGAATTAACAAGATTTAGAATTAGATGGATATCAGGTACTTCTAATGTATACTTTTTCATTCTTACAATAGATATCACATGTTTTTGAGCAATCAACAAACCAAATACTAAATTCTAAAAATATAATAAATAAATACTGTAAGATAAACTCATGATAATTGTGAAATAATTACTTTAATATGCATACCTTTATTTTACTACATTCGGTTAAAATTGATTGTGTTATTTTATCTCTGCTACTTGAAGGCATTTGTAAACAAGAAATAGAATCTAACAGAAAACCAGGATCATTTTCTGTAAATGATATAAGTTTATCTATAAGTCTTTCAGATCCACTCATCAAACGCCGTAGATCAAAGTTTGTTCTATTTTGGAAGATTTTCTTTAGTTGTGTCAATGTCAGGGTACTAATTATATGGTTGTATACATACCTAAAAGTATTAATATAAAATACATTTAAATAAAAAATTGATACTAGTTTTTTCAAATAGCGGTACTTTATAAATTACGTTAATTGTTTTTTAATTCTTTCATACGGTTCAGATAATTGGGACACACCAACTAATATAATTGGATCATTATTTAAAAAAACTATTCTTGTTGATCCACAGTAAATTGATTGTAATGTATCATTTGAATCTTGTGTCACTGATACTAAAGCTATCATTAATCCAAATAAGGAAGCTAACTGATTCTCATTTCCATATCTACAAAAAAGTAGCAATTACATAGTTACTTAAAACTTCTTTATAAATAATCAAAATTCTATAGTAAAAAAAAGAATTTTATTTTGTTATTAGAGATATCATAATCTCATGACTACTTTTTAAGGATATTTTTTGTCAAAAGTTAAAAATAATAAAAATAAAAATGTTGCTTTTTTTCTTTACTAGAAGGAATTTTGGGGCAACAACTATTGATTTGTGAGAAAGAAGGAAGATAATTTTTATTATACAAATTTCTTTTAATTAAGAGATATTCATAAATTATGTACTAACTAGTATAGAACCATTCACTAAATACACTTCATTAACTTAGCTACATTAAGGACACAGTTAAAAATAATCCAAGAGGAGGAGGTAATTTTTATATAATTTATTATAGAGACAGACTATGAAAGAGTAATTAATGTTTTTCTTTAAATAGGTCATCAAGTCATTCTGTAAGTTACAGAACATTGCAATAAATCATAATAAAAATTTTAATATTGAAATTTTATTTTAAATTTACCTTGTATAAATAGGCTTCCCAGCTGTACTTAACACAAATACATGTTTATTGTTTTCTTTAAGTTTTTCGAATAAATTTTCATGTAAATTAAGATTGACATGGTCTGTTATTTCATTGTGATCTTTTTCTATAAAACTATCTGGAGGATCAATAAGTGAGGTTTTTTCAAAATCTAAAGCTATTTTATCAGTATCTTGATTGTCTTCCATAATTTCTACAAATATTATGAAAAAATGTATGCATATGTCTATTTCAATAAAAAAAATTTTTACGAGGCATAAAAGAAAAATATATTTTTATTAATAAAGAGGCTAAGCCCTTTTTTTTTAATTTTATAGGCTTGATTTGCTTAATTCCTTAATTATTGCCAATTAATAAAATAATGAACATAATAATTGAGTAATTAACTTAAAAATAAAATGAATATTTATTAACAAGAATCATACTTAATGAATTATAAAAAAAAACACAATGTAGCTCAACTTGTAACTACTTTAATTGTATTTTATCATTACAATTTTATGTTCGAAAATTTAAGACATAAAATTATTTTATTTCATGAAGGCAGTTAAAACATTTTTAATTGTTAATTTTCTTGATTTTATTGCAAAAAAATCTAATAATAAATATAATTAATAAACTATGGTAAAAAGAAATTTTATAATTAAAAGTACCTAAATAACAGTCGAAGCTAAAATTGAAATTAATCTCTACATTGTCACAGCGGTTAAAATCACTAGCCCGTTCATTCAATTAGGAGCAATAGCCGTAGTGTTTGTATACATTATCATAATTCCTTCTTGTTGATAAGCCAAGTGTGATTGAAATTATCATCGTTGCAGCCATTGGGCGTTGCCCATACTTTTCATGCGCAGCTCCTGGCGCAACTTCAATCGGTATTCTTATCAAAATGTTTTTGCATAGAGTTATTGAAATCACAAATTCACTTGATTTATTAAGTTTTATATCGTCGTATGGTTCAAAATAGCCGGAAGCGGTATTTTATTCTTGTCTACACTTTAAATAAACTTATAAATCACAAATACTTCTATTTGATTAACTTCATTTACAGGAATTTAAATTGGTTAATTGTTTTGTGAATGGCTATGACTTCAGGAAAAGACACAATGGGGTATGTATATTAGTGCTCAGCGATGCAATATTCATATTTTCATTTCAATCGTTGTTTAGGGAACAACCAATATTTACTTGCAAAGCACATGTCTTCCACATAGATCCAAAAACGAAAAAGTCATGGATATCTGCATCTACGGTTGCTGTCAATGTATCTTTTTTCTTTGATTCCCATCGAGCGTTATATCGAATCATTAGTGTAGAAGGAAGCAAAGTAATATTTTAATATTATTCTTATTTTCTTTATGATATCATACTAAAATTTACTTATTTAATAGGCTGTTATCAACAGTACTATTACTCCAAATATGTCTTTTACAAAAACATCTCAGAAATTTGGACAGTGGACAGATACCCGTGCAAACACTGTATATGGTCTTGGGTTTTCATCTGAACAAGAACTAAATAAAGTAATAGAATAGTATAATACAAGATTGCTTATTTATAAATAAAAATATTTTCATTTTTTTAATTTACCTAGTATATTCATCTTAAATTATCATATTTTTATTAGTTCATCCATAAGTTTGAAGAAGTTAAAGAAAAAACTCGTCAAACTGCTATCAATGGACCTCAACAGCTTCAACAAAATTATATGAGTACTTCAACCACTCCAGTAACAAGTGCCAATGCTAGTCCTGTAACTACTCGTATTAGTCAATCTTCTGATGGCCAAAGTATTATTGAACCACCTAATATGACTCCTACTGAACCAAATACAACTCCAGAAGATTCAAGTACTACTGAACAAATGATAAACCAAATGTCTAAAAACATGATTATTTCAAATGCAAATCATGTAATAATTTATTTTTAATTTTAATTAATATTTTATAAAAATTATTGAGATAATAGTTTATTGAATGTTGTTTCAGGCTGCTGAAAGCCCTAAACATCAGATATCAAATGAAGGCCGATTAAGTAGTGGAAATTCTATGTCTGAATCTCAATTAAAATATGAAAATGAAAGATTAAAACTAGCACTAACTCATAGGTATTGAGCTATTAAAAAATAAGTAAATGTATGTAAAATTCTAAAATAAAAAATTTATACTATTAGCTCAGCAAATGCAAAAAAATGGGAAATTGAATTGCAGACATTAAAAAATAATAATTTGAGATTGACAAATGCATTACAAGAAAGCACAGCTAATGTAGATGAATGGAAACGACAATTACAATCATACAAAGAAGAAAATCAGCGTTTGAAAAATAGATTTCTTGATGCTGAAGTAGCAAAAGGTTTGTCACTACTACTTAATAATTAATTCAAAATGTTTTTATGAAACTGAATATTCACTTTAGGGGGTTCAGAAGTGTCTTCAGAATTGAGAAATGAGTTGACAAATTTACGTCTTAAAGTTGATAGCTTGGAAGGAGAATTAAAATCAAAAAATGATGAAATCCAAAAATTATCATTAAATAAAATGCCACTTGAAGAGAGATGCAAGGTAAAATAAAATAAATTTCTATATTTCACAGTTATCACATATTTTTATTTTTAAGTTGACTCAGTATAGTTATTATTTTTAATTATAATAATTATTAAGACAATAATGTAAAAAATGTATAAAAAATTTTTTATATCAATTTGTTTTATTTTATTATTTTGTGAATTAAAATTAAATTAATTTTATTTTGTATAAGGAATCAAACTATAACAATGTTAGAATTTCTGTTCTTATTTTTAGTTCTTTATATGGTATTCATAATATTTATTATATTCAGTAATTAGTTAGAAGATAATTTAAATGAAGCTTTTTATTTAAAAATTTAAATTTTTAATGTGACAATTATTTTTTGCATTATTAATATATTATTAAACTTCAAGTGTTAATTTACTTAATTAGGTTCTTAGTCAAGAAAATGCTGAACTTCAAGCTGCTGTCAGTTTGGCTCAAGCACAGTTAGAAACTGCATTAGCAGCTCAAGAATCCCAAAGACGTGTTATTGATACTCTTAATAATAGTCTATTTGTTCGTATTCAAGAATTAGCTACAATTCATAGAGAAATGACTACTGCTATTCAAACATAAGAACTACTCATTGGTATATTAGTATTTATTTTTTAGTAAATTTAATTATTATTTATAAATGTATGAATAATTTTATTAAGTACTGTCAAATATTTGAAAAAGTTTAACATAAGAAATAATATGATAAAATAATGTCATTTTATGAAATATGTCATATAGAAATTTATGAATTATTGCTTATTGACTTAAAATAATTACATATTTAATTTATAATGAGGAAAATTATAACTAAAATAATGAATTAAATATTTATGTTCTTTAACAGTTTCAAATTATAATAATTGGAATTTTTTAAAATTATTTTTTACTAAAATCATTAAGTAATAAAATAGAATTTTAACACTTGGCTTATTATCAATGTATTGACTGTCAATGCACATCAGAATTAGTAGAAATGGTTAACATTTTTAAAGTTCAATAAATTTGAATTAAAAAAAATATTTTACTAATTATATACCTGTCGCTACTAGTCTTTATGATTTTTTAGATTTATTAAGCTTTAAAATTAAGTTGAAAACTATTCAATTAATTTTTTTTTTTACAGGTTAATAGTGAAATTGAAATATTCCACGATGTATATTTTGAGGAAATATACATAAAATAATAAAGTATATTTTGAAACATAAATAAAATCTTTATATGTGATTTTTTATTTTGTGTGTTTGTTTAGATAGTGTTTTGAAATATTAATGATAAAATAAGTCTTATTGTGACCATATATGATTGATTGTTCTCTTATATTTTTCAATATTTATAATTTACTTAATTATCTACTACTTAATATACTTAAATTGTAGTCAGTATTCAGTATAGGTATTTTAAATATAAAATTATTATACTGTGTATATAGTATTAGATACTCAAAACAAATTTTTTATCTTATTTATTATCAATTTAAGTCAGAAATAATAATTTCATTTGTAATATAATATTTAATCTTATTTAACATTTTCTCTTAAAGCTAATTGATTGTGCCCGAGAGGATGTAAATACCTATAAATACAGAGCAATGGAATAAAACATTGTACCTAAACAACAAAGTACGATGCATTACTAACTGAGCTAGATAGGTCGCTTAAATCAAATAAATACTTAATTGAACTAGGAACAGGTTTTTCTAATTTAATGTTTTATGTAATCTAATTTTTTATTCTCTACATTGCTTTAATTATTAATAGTAGTTTTCTCTTTGATAGTAAAAGAATTGTTAATTAAGTATATGTTCTTTTAGTTTGTAAAATTATGATACTTAATGTATATAGATTTTTTATACGTTCTTATTTGTTTTTATATTCAAATAATTTAGATAAAGGCTGAATGTCATATGTTAAATTCTATTTTAAATACAGTAATAAAAGCTTTGTTAAAATTATTTGAATTAGTCTAAAATTTTATAGTTCATTAAATTTGTATTTATTTATAACCATGTAAATTTTTTCAATTGTATAAAAAGTACCGGGTTACTAAATTTATTGATGGTATTATAGAACAATTATTTATAAATAAAGTAAGTTTTAAAAGAATTAAATGATGTGTGATATTATTATTAGATAACATTCTTTTTTTTAACTTACTTATTACTGTAAAAAATTAAAATTGTACAAATTGTGAGACATTTTACCTAATAAATAGAATATTCAATATTTTTTAGTGATTATTATTAGCAAACGACAAAAATTATTATATCAAAAATATTATATCTATTTTTAAAGCAAAGAAAATAAAATAATACACTGAAGAGTTTTTTAATTTAATTTTTAAAAATGATTGTAAGGATACATTAAGATCATTAAAATTAAAAAGGGTCCAATAATTACCTGATATGAATAATATTAATTTTTATGAAAAATTTAAAGTGTCAATAGCTGAATTTTTTGAACTTTTTTAAAATCTAATATTTAAAAATAAAAGTATTAAACATAAATGAATTCTGAATACAAATTCTGGTAGTATTTTTTATTTATACAATCTAGTGAGAAAAATTCTATTTATGTAATCATATAAATATAAGATAGGTATTTTCTAATAACTGCACACTACCAGTGTACATTTCTGTGCCAATAACTGTACATTTTACTTTATTATAGAATTAATAAAATTATTTTATAGTATTAATCTAAGTTTCATTGAAAAGAAGACTCCCAATAGAAATTTAAATTATTGTCACTATAAGTTATTTTACAAATCTTTAAAGAAATAATAGTATTGTTTTAGAATTAGCATCATTAAATAATGATAATGAATCATTGATTAAATGTTTCATAAATGAAATTACTCAATAACATTGGTTGAAATATTTATATATTACTATTCATTTAAATATTTCTTTACAGTTTAAAATAAAAAAAATTATATTCACTCTTAAATTTTCAGGTACTAGGGTTATTATATTGTTGTAAAATTCCAGTAGCTTTCCTATACACTGTAATGTGATCTAAATATTGCTGAATGGTGTCTAAAGGTTGAAAAATATCATTCATTTTATTCTGTAATTATAATAAAATAGTTACAATTTTTTTTAATGGTAAAATATATTAAATGTAAATATTCATTCTAAAAATTAAAATTAACTAAACAAATAAATAAATAAATTTTACAATCAATACATTTATATTAAGTATGTAATGTACAACTCAAAATAAAATAATTAATTTAAACATTAATAATTAAGCTTTAAAATATTTAAACCATATACTACTAGTACTTTGGAAGTTAATAACAATTTAAAGTTATGACTAGAGATATGGAGCGGGTGCTGCTATTTTTATATTCCAGCCATACACTTCGTCTCACAAATATAAAAATGAGAATAACTTCCAAAGTATTGGTCCAAAAGTTGTCATCTGATTGATGACAACTTTTGGACTATTACTTGTTGTAATATTCTTAAGTAGATAACTTCATATTTTATGAAATAGTTAAAAATGTATATTGCCATTAAAAAAATAAAGTTATTACTCTTCTAAGTTTAAGGGATGATTCTAAAAAATAATTATTAGCTGATAAATTAAGAAATATACATAAATAAAATAATAAAACATTTTTTTTTTCATTATTGTATTTATTTTGAAAGTAATCAGTGGTTTATGATAAACCAAACACTCTGTATACAGAGTGTTACAGATATAATTGACAACTCTTACACTTTTCATACAATTTTTTTTTAACAATTATTGCCTTTTTTGAAACGTTTAAAGCATAATTTTTATTATTGATGACTAATAAAAAAAAAATTAAGTATAATATTTTTTTATAGTTGATGTGAAAAATCTTTTATGGCTGTTGGCGTGGTGACAAATCACATATGTGAATAACAAATCTCTTTTTACTTGGCTTAGTGATCCTCATCCCTATTATCACACTGTACTCGTATACCTATAGAATTTGCATGGGTTCCCAAAAAATAGTAAGAGCAATCATAGACTAAGAAATCAATAACTATAAAAAAAAAAATTAAACAAAGTAATAATTGTAACAAAAGTTATAAATGTTGTTAAATAGATTTGAGATGCCCATATTATATATATATTGTTTATATATATATATATATAAAATTTCAGAATAAAAAATGATATATCTCATAATTTTTAATTTTTATTCTAACATAAAAAAACTCAAAGTTTTAAGTCAATAAAAGTTGTATTACTATTTTTGCTAATAAGCAATATGGACAATAGATACCATCTTAATGAAAATAATTACATGATAACATTTTAGGTATCTTCTTCAATTTCTTTGTCTTATTCTCAACTACTTGGGGTCGGCCACCCTTATCCTAAACTTCCAATTGACACAAACTTCCACATCATTTATGCTCACATAAGCCATCCTCATATTGCAATCAATAACATCCCTTTTTTAGTCTTTCTTTACCTCTTCTTCCTTTAACATTCAATTCTGTAACTATTCTTACAGCGGTAGCTGTACAACATATTAGATGATATAATAAAAAAAAATTGTATAAATTTTTAAGCAATTAATTTTTTAAACCATTTATACTTAATTCTATCAATTAATTATTTTGATAAATAGATAACCTGAAAGTAGTGAGGAGTTACATTTGATACACATGATCCTAAAAATCCTTGTAAAAATTCTCTGAGCATATCCCAACATAATCCAAAAACTACACAAGGCCTATATTCAACCTAAAAATAATATTAACACATTATTTTAATAATACAAATTAATTATAAATATCAAATAATATTAATTTATAAATATAAATTAATATTACCATCTTAGGACAAAAAAAGTAGACTTATAGAGATAGATATAATTTTCATAATATCAGAACTTACTTCTACAATAATTCCTTTCACATTATGATTTATATTGACGGCCCCAAATTTAATTACGAAATCATTTAATTCAAACCGTGGACCTCTTATTTCTACTTTGGACTTCTTAGAAGTATACACTGAAGACATTTTTAATAATAATAAATCAAAGAGAGCATCAGCTACAACTGGTACTGATTTGCCTGTTCCATTATCTAAAATTGCAAATACAGATGCTGGTTGTTCTGAATTATGAAAGACATGTAAAGTACGTTGAACTCCTATTAAATTATAAAATGATAAACAATAAATAAACTACTTTATTTTAGTTAAATACAATATATACCACCAAGCGGTGTTTAACAATAAAATATCTTTTATGGTTCATTCAAGCATATTTTATTTGAAAAATTTTATAATAAAATATGTCCAAGCTAATTTTTTTCAACATATAAGATTTTATCATACCCAATTGAGGAATGGATACGTAAGTTTCACAATCGACTAAAAATGTTCCACACTGTTTAGCACCTAAAGCATTTACTCGTTTCGTTAGAAACTCAATTATCTGTGCTCCAGTACGGTTTTCTTTCATAGGGAATTGCTGTAAGCTGTAAAATAATTATTTTAAAATACATAGTTATTTATAATAATATTATAATTATAAATTAAATTGAATTAACTAACATAGTTACTCCCATTTTAACTGCAAACTTAATACATTATAAAAACTAAAAATAAAGTTCAAGTTACATATATATATATACACTGGATATTGTACAATACTTTCATATATTTTTTCTTGAATTTCAAATTTAAAATAATTTGTGTACTAATATAACATTTTATCGTGTATATAAATCCATATTATCAACATTTTTAGCTAAAACTATCTCCATTCTTATAATGCAGTTACTTTCATTTTAACAAGAGGACGCCACATATATCATCATTTGTGTACTTAGTATAATATACATTGCTTAATATAAATATTATAAGTATTATACAATATACTTGAGGGTATTATATTAAATTTTTATATAAGCTAAATATAATACAACGTTTGTAATTACAACTTGATTATAAAACGAAGACGTATGAATTTTTGCTAATAACAAATTGGCGTATAACAACAAAATATATGACTATATTTTCATATAATCTATATTATAATTGAAACCATAATTATTTTTTAACTATTAGTTTTGAGGAATTTATATGTAAAACTACAATTACTAGAATGTAGAATTATACTGTCAAATACTTAAATTGTAACACTAGAAAGTATTATGCCATTAATATTTTAATGATTATTTAATGAACAATGTAAATATAAAAGGGGACTCGACGATCTTCTCGGTGGTCAGTGTTTTTTGTGTAAATTTTACATTATAATTAGCTATTATTTTGATTCTTCCTGACAACACTTATCCGCGTAGTCAAATTGGACTTAGAACACCAGTTTACCACATAACCGTCAACATAAGTAATGATATAAACAACACTTCAACAAAATTAACTATGATAAAGAACCATAGAACACTGACCGAACTAAAATATTCAATGCGTTCAAGAAAATGGTCTTATGACCATTCGTTAGAAATGCTGAAAGAGGTTCTATAACCCTATTTTCAATGTCACCCTAACAAGTTGTAAGTTGTTTCTATTTGAATAACGCTAACAAATAAAATAAAGAAAACCGATATTTTTCTACGATAGAATATAACTTTATTTCTTTCGAAAACCAACTGGGCTCGTTAATATTACAAATGATATTTGTCTCAGTGTTCGAGAAAAAAAAATTACAACAGAAAATTGTTGTTCAAGAATGAAATTGAAAAAGTAAGAATAAGAAATGAAACAAGAAAAATGTGTAACAACAAAAAACAAAGAAAATTATAAATATTTTATGAATAACATGGCACGGAAATAATAAAAAAAACAAAAGTTATCAGACGTTTGAAAAATTATCGAACTCTAATTAACGAAACACTGCGTCGAGAAGGATTCCGGCGCAATGCTTACGTATGACCTTCAGTGACATTCAATTTGTCACACTTCTTCGTCAAACGCCTGTTGCGGGTTTCATATGCTTCCATTTGAGCGGTCATCTCACTGATATTTTCGAATACACTCCGACCATACGCGAGCAGAGCAGCATATTTGTGTACGGGCCAGACGAGGAAATCGCATTTTGCGGGGCAAACAATTGGTTTAAGCGGAGCATAAATGTCCACGTTGATTTAATTAACCGCATACCACGTATTTCCTCAGAGGCATTACTATTTGTATAATAGCCTATAGCACTCAAACTGTTGATTAATCAAACGCATCAATTCGAAAGTGGGACTGAGAGGATGAGTGTTGCACACTGCACAGATATTGGATCACAAAAATCGTACTGCTCTCCAATCGAGTTGATCAAACGTTGATACATTTCCTCTGTGTCAAAGTACAGTCCGACCAATTGGCCCCGGACTTCGGCAATTTGCCTGACTACTTTTGGAAGTTTCTACTCCATGTCTTTGCTGAATGAATTTATTTCCCCAAAGCGCAATATGAATTTGCAAAAACAACTTGTTGATTTGATACTAAACAGTAGAAAAATATGGCAGACTGGTCACATTTTCGTTGATTGTTGGCCGTATAAATAAGTAGAAATTCCCAAGTCACTTTTCCACAGAGATGTTGAAATATTGGACTATTCATAATACATTTTATTTTCAGCAAGAATACTTCATTGTTTTACATTTAGCCAGAATAATTTTTTTTTGACCAATATACTTTTTGTTTTACTCCTGATTAATAAATAATATTATTATTAGCCACAATTATAAAAAATATATTGTTTACTATAGCAAAAACGAGTATTTAGGTCATCACTACACGTCCGAGGGTAATTTTTTTAGTGTAGTTCACAAAATGCATCTTAAAAATAGGGGTATGAAGTATAAATTCATTTGTTTAGAATAATGCTTTACGTTTTTTAAACTTTACATCCAGATTTTCTACGTGTATCATTTACAATTTTAGTTTGGTAAAGTACATGATTTTGGCACGACAATGATAAATCTGCAAAGGAAATATTTGTCAATTCATAACGTCCTATACAGTTAATTGCACACTTTCAGTTAAATATCATTTTTTTGGTTTTTGGTTGTACAACATTAGCAGAAACAGAAATACCTTTTCGAGCACTTCCTTTATAATAACTATTGTCAAATGATGCTATGTATTATAACTGGTAGAAAATAAAATGTTATCAAAACATTAAAAAAAGATAATTTATACAAATATTAAATGCTAAGAAAATGAACATCTAACGTACGTTATTTTTGTACAAAGAAAACTTAATTTATTAAAACATATATACATGATACAATAAACCATAATTACAAAGACTAAGAACGAAATGTATTAAAATAGTAAAGATATATAAAAGGTATTTATTGTTTGTGATTTATATAATAACAAGCAAGATATTCAACTTTCAACATAAATTGATTTTATGACCGACTCGACATTTTAAATGTAATTATGTAATCCTACTACTACATCATCCAATACTAGTAAAAAAACTTTTAAATTTCTTGACTGTTCTTTAACAAATTTTTTTAAGTTGAATAAAATACCATAATTGAAAGTAGATAATTTTATGTTTATTATAATTGTTTTATTTCATGTATATAAATAAACATTGTAAAATTAATTTAATTTTTTTTTAACAGATTATTAATAAAATTAAAAAAAATTAAGACAGAGGTAAGAAGAAAAATTACAAGTTTTTGGCTTTTTAAAGCCGGACTAAAGAAAAATGTCGACAGTATATTGAAATTAGATCGACTAAGTAACATTTATTATAACATACGAGTATCCCATTTTTTAATTCAACTTAAATTTTTCATATACTGACAACATAAAATAAAAAAAATGTATACAACCACAATATTATTTTAAAAATGCGCGTTTCATGTTTTTATTTATGAAAATGTGGATACAAATAAAATAATTTCCTATATTATTTACGCTCTTTAGACAAGCAGCTGCTGTAGTGAACAGTAATATATTTAAAAAGTTTGTGTTACAAAACTAAAGTTAGTTACATAATACAAAGGTTTTATTTTGATATCTCCAATAATAGTACAATATTTTATATGAAATAAAAATAGAGAAATTATTTAAATTGATTTTTTTTACTAACAAAAAATACTTTAGATTGAAGGTTTTAATGGTAAATTTTTGCTATGACTATTTAAAATATCTAATTATAATTATAACATTATATTACTGTGTACTATTAATAATTTTGTATTAATTTCAGAGAATATAACTAATATTTCTAGTTTAAATTTTTAATAAAAAAGTCTATTCTCTTCTATTTCGGTATAAAGAAGTATTTTAAAAACAATTTCAAAGATATATGATCAATAGATTTACATTACAAAACTATTTTAAATTTTCTTCAATATAAATATATTAACAAATCCAGTCCTGATGATTACAAAATATTATTAATACGGATGATGAATTAAATATTTTAAATCTATACTTATATGATCAAGAATTTTAATTAACTATTAAAAAAAAATATATATATTATATATAAACACTAAATTTTTTGTTTAAAGAACAAAAGTTTTTTCATTCTAGTCTAAAATTAATGAAATCTTTAAAAATTCTGTAATCATAGAAAATTAAAATATTTTTTCAATATAATATTTATTAATAAATGTACCTTTAATAAATTGAGATGTAAGTTTTGTTAATTATTTTCAAATAATATATGTATAATAATGTTTTTTTTAATAACTTGCAAATGAAAACTTAAATTAGTCCATTTTATCGAGATTTATATAAAATTGATAAAACAAACGCAAACTTATTTACAAATTAGAAATAAGTTTGGAATGCAACATTTATTTTTCGTATACATTCCTTACTTATTTAAAAAATCTCACAATAAAATGATATATTTGAGTCTATTCACTATTACAAAATACAATTTATAGTATACAGAGTCGGTCTAAAATTAAAAAAATTGGGTACATTTAAATAACTATTCATGTATATTTTACCAGCCCTGACTGTCAGTTTTATATACCCATATTTTTTAAACATTAATATATAACGTGAATAATGAATCTATGGCTTGTAGGTTTTACTACATTTATAGATAAAAAAAGAAAAGTAACTAATTACAAATATATTCTTCTTTTTTAAATTTACACACTTCGCATACCACATTGCAACACCAAATAAATTTGCATTTACATTTTTCTTCGACATCTCGTAGTCTAATTTGGAATCCTCTGTGACAACAAAGATGTCTACAACCATCTAAGCCTTGACATACTCTATCGTAAGTTCCCATTAAACTCATTCTGTAATAAACAACAATTAAAAAACTATAGTTGACTATAATATTATTTATTAATATATTAACATACGATTCGTTATGTTCGCAATAATCTGGAGAGGAGTCTAAATAAACCAGTTCAGTTTTATTTGGCATTTTTCTATCCATTCTGATAGGTCGTAATTTTTTTATTTTCTTTCGCTTTTTTTCTCCTAAACGAACATGAGACGCTCCTTCGTATCGAACCATCAACGTGTCGCCAATGTCGCGGAATGATGAAAGTCTCATCCAACATATTCTCACACTACAAGAACCCGACATTCCATGACATTTGCACACTTTCTGCATACTTGAACGAATAATCTATAAAATAAAATATTTTTTAGCAAATATTAATGAAAATGTTAAATTACAAAAAAAAAAATAACTAATTTATATATTGTCTTTTAATAATATTTTATAACGATAGTATAGTTATGAAATAATTAGGTTACCATAATTGTAACTAGTGTCAAATTTAGATATAAAAAGGACCCACTGAATTCTTGTAAAGAGGACCGTTGTACCTAACCTGATTAGAATTTTCAAGTTGTATTTATATATACTGTAATAATCAGCATAAATTCATTTTAGGCAAATAGACAAGACTTATATGCAATTACTTCGTTATAATTTCCTATAAGATTTGCCCCTGATTATTGAAACCTATCGAGATTTTCTCAGAGCGGCCAAAGGTTATCCTAGAGATAATTTTTTATCTTTATCTTATATTTAAATCTTTTATAATTTCTATAAGTTAATCTATTAAGATAAGTTATTATTGGAAATTTTTTTTACTTTTGTAATTTTGTTTTTAACAAAATGTTAAAACACTTAATAATTTGTTATTTGTAATTGGACATTAGCCATTTAAAATAAATTAAATAAATAAGTAAAATGTAAATCAAAATGCATAATTAGCATTAATGATATTATAAACGGAAGTTTTGGATTTACATAGAGCATAAAATTCAAAAACCATTATACTTATGAATAACTCATGAGTACCTTAATATTTCTGATTAATCTATACAGCGATTCGATGCAATAAGAAAAATTCATAGTATATGAAATTCAATATTTTAATAATTTGATTGACATCTCAATGAAAAAAATATTTTTTAGGTTAATACCCGAGGTCCCTAAAATGAACCCTTGTTAGAGGAAATCGCTTAGGCCACTAACAGTACACACTATACACCCTGTAATATGTATTATTAATACAATTTTTTAAAAACGTATGGAACATACGTACCCTTCTTCCTGCTTCATTATTGTGCACATTCATTAATCCATGTACGTTATCCGTGTCTTCAATTGAATCAACAAAATCTCGACTGAATTTTTCGCCAAAATGAATATCCTTTAAAATTAAAGTTGACTCTTTCAGTAGCGAAAAATATAGTTATACTGTATAATTTTATTCCAGAAAACATAATAAACACCTACCTCTGAACATCCGCCCCATTGCCAATTTTTCTGAGTCTGAGATTTCTTAATTCTGTTGTCACAACTACACTCATTAAGTTCACCTCTGGAACAAGCTTTGGTTATTGCATATGCTACTCCTGCAGCTGTAATGGCATTAACGTATGCCTTTTCTCTACTTCCTAAAAAATATTTCAGAAGAAATTTAGTTACTAATTTTTTTTATAAGAATTTATTTTGGGACACTTACGATACATCATTACATTACCAAACACGGATGTGTTGTTTAAATAAGTTGTACAATTCCATCGTTGAGAGCCAAACTGATGCTGACATTCTTCAATGGCCATTTTTGTCCCGCTACTAACAACCTGCAACAATTATTTTAAATAATTATTTTCAATCATAGAACCGAAATGTAGAACACTTACTTACACTCATTATTTTTTCGCCGAGATCACATAATTGCTGTTGTCTATTCTTTAAAAAGTTGTAGCGGTAACAATTTTCTTTGTGACTTAGTAATGGATTGTACTCTTTAGGCGGGTAATTTTGTAATCCTAAGTACCTTCAAAACAAAAATAGCTATTGTAAAAGATCTAATTCGTCCAATAAATATAAATGTTTATTTGAAAATAGTGTTATAAATAATTATTCCTAAATATTTAATAGTAACGAATAACAAAAGAAAAGATAATTCAGTGGCATACACAAGATTTTTTTTAAGAAGAGTATCACAACATATATGATTTTATCGATTTTTTTGCACTTCATTTAATAAAATGCTTTCCTCTCAGTTCAATAAAATATAGCAAATAATGATAAAAATAGTATTCTAGTTTATAGTAATAGATGTTTGTAAGCCAAGAGCATTATGGAATCCCTTTTAAATCAACATTTTAAAAATATTCTTACTTAATTAAAAAAAATGAACTCGTGAAAGTTTGGTTTATAAATATTTTTTTTAATTATTTACTTAGCAAATTTATTAATTTAATGTATAAGTTAATTTTTCATAGTCATCGTATAATAATAAAAAAGCTACGTAAAAAAAAAAACAAAAAAGAATAAAAAAAAATTATGTATTGCACCTGTTTAAAGTGGGTATCATAACTCCCTGATACCTCACTTAAGTACACTACTGGGATTTTTTTTAAAAAGTTATACATGAGTTCATTTATCTTAGATATCAAATAATAATACATTAATATTTTTTATAAATTAATATTATTTTAGAATTTAGAGAAACGATAAAAAAACTTTCTTTTTTTAAAAGTTACAATCTTTTAAAAAATTTTTCAATTCCTCTGACAGTTAACTTCAATCTAATTATGATTATACTAGGATTTGAATTATAAAATTTTACTACATAATTTATTTTTTATATTATTTTATAAAGCAATATTATTAAGTTTTGAATAAATTAAAAAACTTTATGCTTAAAATATAAAAATTTAGGGGAGCTAGTAAGTGTACATTTATTTTAGGTGGAATGTGGTTATTATTGTTTATTTTCATAAGTTGAAATGATTTCTAAGACATAAATTAAATATATTATCAAAATAAATTAAAATTATACGTTTGGATAGTTAATATTCGAATTATTGATAGAAAATGCATTAATTCAGGAACAAGAATATTTAATTTTGAATAAAAATGTGTTATAATTGTTATATGAATGGGCGTTTACCATTAAAAAAATTATCCAAGTAACTAAGAAGCTAGTAATTATGAAGCCGACAAAGTGAGCCACTGTATAAGCTGTAATAAAACACAAACAACTGAACTGACATATTTCTTTTATTTATGATGAAGAATAACGATTAAAATCAACATAAATATTAGCGTACATAGTACTTATGTAACATAAGCAATCTATGCTCTAGTTAATAATACTAATAATATTAAAGGCGACAGTCTTCGTAAATCATACGTTTTCCCAGTGGCACAGTCAAGATTTTTAATTGAGGGAAAACTTAAAGTAATTTTTTATTATCGCTCAAGTAATTTTTTATAGTAATATTTAACCAATAGGGTGGAGGCTACAGCCTCATAAGGTTCCGTTGGCTAAGCCACTGTTTTCAAACTATTCTTAAATTCCATCGAAAATATAGTAAAATATAACTTAATAAAGATAATACTTAATACAGTAATAATTCTCCACTTCTTACCTTAATAGAGTTATCAAATATGACCAATAGTACTATTGAAATAATTACAATACAAATTGTGCATGGGTATAAATATATTGTAAATAAATTATTCATTTTCAATATTTTAACTAATAATACTTTATTTTTTTTATTATTTATACTTTTTTATACTTCGACAACAAATTATAATTATATTTTTGTTATAACTGTTACATAAAAAACGTTACCGTTCGAGAATGTCATTAAATAAAACTAAAAATTAAAAAATAATAATAATATTTTAAACAATATAAGATTTTAAATGAACTGTATAGTAATAATTTAAATTATTTTACTTCTACCTAATTGCAAATAAATTAGGCATGCTAATTACCACATAATACAAAATGTATTGACTTCTTCAACTATTAAAAATCTAAATAAGCTGGAAATACAATATCAAGAGGATAATAATACTATTTCTAGTGCTTTTAAAAAGCTCAAGTTTTGGATAACATAAACCATCTAATTAATCTTATACTAATTAGCACTCATCTAGAACCTCTAAAACCTTGCTTTCTAGTACATTTTTGTTTTATTATTGAGGGTTTTTTTATGAATGTATATATTGTGTACTTAAAATTATGCCTTATTAGACTTGTATAAAACATATATTAATATAATAGAGCACAAGTATATTGTATTCGTGGTTGCTTGGTAACCCCTTGAATTCAAAGACAACGCTCCGCCTTCTAGGGTCTCCTTCATCTGTCAATCACCGGCCATTTTGGACCCCCTGAGGACAGTCAATTGAAATGAACTAACCTAATAGCTATATTGTTCTTATACTGAAGTTAGATTTTTATATTATAATTAATATTAGTTTTAATGAGACAATATAAATAATCCTTTAATAATTATAAAAATGTGAAATTTTTCCTAAATAAAATATGTAACACTACAAACAATAAATTATGTGAATACAAATACAAAGAAATATGAAAGATAACTAGACTGCACAATAGATATGAAAAATCTATACTAAACCGTTTTTTCCACTCAATAAAACAGAGACGTACTAGGACCTAAAATTGGTTACATGTTATTTTAATAGCCTACATTTAACGAAAAAAGTTATTTATATTGGAAGTTTTTGCAGTTATTTTTTAGAAAAATATAAATTAAATAACTTTTATGTCTTATAATTTCGGAATATAAATTCTCATAAACAACTTCAATTTATTAAAAAACAGTTATATTTTTTAATTTTCCTTCAATTTGCTTTTATATGATAGTTTTATACCCGTTATTCTTTATATATATATTTTTTTGTATGAATAAAGTGATAATATAAAATTGTAATTGCTTAATCACGTTACCACCTTAAAGTTTTACTTTTTTTAAGTGTCAACTTTGAGATAAATCCTATAATTTTACTCCTCAATAATTTGTATAACGCGATAGATGATTAAAAAATGAACCAGGAGGTCCAAAAATTTTTTTCTGGGTCAAGAAAAAAAAACAAATATAGTCAATAAATATATTAAAATTATAAAAATAGACTTATCATATAAACTTAATATCATTTAATCTGAATATTTAAAAAGATTATAAAGAAGACAATATTTGTCCCGGATCAGTTTTTTGAAATTTGTTACTCTCTGATATCCGATGAGTAAATCAAATACAAATTACACGCAACTAATCAAGCTAGTTTCTTTGTATATATCGACACAATAATAATAAAAATAATTTTGGTGTTAAATATTTTTGGTGAGCCAATTTTTTACGCTTCGGGAGCGATGGGTCGTGTTTTGTCAATCTTTGCTCTTAAATAAACCTACTTGCTTTATTCTTTTACTACTGGAAATATAAGTAATTTTCGTTCCCAGATTTTATAACTTATCTTATTTTTACCCTTACAGGCTTGAAACTTGCCACTAAAACTATTTAGATAGAATTTTCAACGTATGATAAGTACTGGGCAACAATTGTTTACGTCATGTATATACTTATTTTTAGTATTGCTAAGCAGCACAAAATATCTAAATGCGACCCTATTAGTAGTAAGCATGTCAAATGTAATAATTATTTTTGCTGGCTAGTCAGGTACCTTTTTTTCTTTAGAACGGTGAATTTTTTTTTTAAATATATGAAAACATTAGTACTATGAACATAAAAGTGAAATTACTTTAGAAAAGACGAATTTTAATCCATCAAATTTGTTTCGACGTTCAAAATTTAACTCAAGTGCTGATCTAAAAGACACTTTTTATCAAATATCAATAGCTACTTTACTATTTCTGAAACATAAGGCCTATTTGTGAAAAAAGTAATTTTTTTAGAAAGTAGGAACAGTTGTTATTTAAATGATAATAATTACTAATTTTGTGGCATTTCTGTTACGGCCTTTTCCTTATATTTGAGCCTGGCTCTTTATGGGAAATCTTAATAAAAGTAAAAGCTCTATAAATTTTTGATGCGTTGGGAAATTGAAATTTGTTATTCTCTCTCTAATTTTGGTTTTTCCATATTTTTATCTACATTTATAATTTTATATTTTCATTTCTTTTATAAAATCACTATACTTATATTAAAATTAGAATTTAGTTTACATATAAATTTTAATATCAACTTACTTGAGTAAAAAGTATTTTAAATCGATAAACTTCGTTTGTTTATTCAAATCCCTTTGAGTAAATAAATAAACCAAGACCAGTCTATGTAATCGTAAAAGAACACATAAAACAGAAAACTATACGTCATAAGTTGAGTAAAAAGCTTAATACAGAAGTTTAAAGACCAGAAATGAATTATAAATGCATTAGATTTAGTCAGTGATTTAGCAATGTTTAAAAATACGAAAAGAATTTTGTTACATACACTATTTTTTGCTTCATATACTCTCATATTATTAAACCTTTCAACAAAAAATGTTATCCCAGCAATTAATTTAATATACAGTATACTGAAATATACAAATATAAATGATATTAATAAGCATGATTATTATTATATTATATTATGATAAGATCTGTTATTCATATTTATAAAAGGTCAAATGAATTATTTAAAAAAGATAATACTTCATTATTATAAGATACTAATCAATGAACGTTTTACTACAGATTAAAAAAATATTTTATAATTGAAAAAAAAATCTTCATATAATATTCTTAATAAATTTTAGTCGACAAGTTTTGCTAAATATTAATATGAAAACATTAAACTTAAATTCTTCCAGATAATTTATTAAATATTCAAACATTTTGTACCTTATCGTTTTAGAAATAAAAACTTTTTATTACTATAACAACAAATGTTTTTAAAAAAGTTTAGCTGTACTTATTTATAATTCTTAAGTATACCAATGAGCTAATGGTAAGCGGAAATTAATTTTTTAGCGTGTAAATACTTTATTAAGACAACGGAAATGGACTTTTTTATTACTATTTTATAAAAGGGCTACTCTTTAACAAACCTACAAAATGTTCTTAAGTCGATCAAAATTAAATAGAACTCAGTATTCATAAATTGATAATGCTATCTATATTTAAGTAACTATCGAACCGTACTTATACTGTACAAAAAAACTTTCAAAGCAAATGTAGATTTTTTTTAACAAAAAATGTTACTTTATTGACATTTTGTTAGCATACAAGTCAAGTACGCAAAAGATTGTGTGCGTGTAGTTATATCCTAAGTGATAATGATAGTGGTGGAGCGCAATGGATAAAATTTAAACGGTTTCGAGTGGTGAGAGGGTGGTGAGCGTTAAAACGGTGGGAGCGGCGAAGAAACTTAATTTCACCGGCAAAACTCTGAAAATCGTCTCATTTTATAGTTTTGCAACCTATAAATTTTATAACCCCCCCTACCCTTCCATCAATATCCCACCACCCCCATGAAAATGGGGGACGACAAAAAAATAAAAGAATTAAAGACCGTGCAGCTGCATATTATGCGCATATACACACCACCGCCGTATCTTTATTGAAAACTGAAAACGGCACCCCCGGAGAAAGCCCCTCACTCGTAAACGGCTTTTCTACTTTATGATCGACACATAAAAACGACTTTATTACTATAACCTCCCCTTTTATTTCAAACGAAACACGCCGTCGAAAGTTTATATTTCTACATTTTACAGAATCGCGTGGGATTCCCACAAACAAATCACATACACGTGCCAATGTTATTTAGTTTTTGTTTTCATCAAACAAATTTACTATAATTGTTAAACTATTATTTCAAAATTACACGCTTTTGGTATAAAAGAAGAAATCATACTGATTTTTTTCCAGGAGCTAATTAAAATAAAAATTTGTATCTTTAACAATATAATCCAACACATTACGATTCTGTAGAGTTATCGTATTATTATAATCTCATACATTCGAACTATAACTTTAAACCGTTAACTAATTATAGAGTGCTGCAACATAATCACTAATTGCATCTTATACTAGAAAAAAATAATTTTGATTTATACGATAAGCGTTTATAATAGTAAACTTGTATTAAACCTGATCATAATCAATATTTATGGCAGTGACATTTAGTATAACTTTAACGTAAAGCAGTAGAAAAATTTTGAAGTATGAAATACATATTAAGATAAATTTTAAACACTACTAAATATATCTAAACTAATTTTAAATGTCTAAAACATGGATTTTCTATTATTTGATTAAGTTTGAAAAATCATATAAATTAATTTCTTATCGCTGTTCGTTGTGATATTATATATATATATATATATATTCAACATAATTTTTTTTGAAATATCTATAAAATCACGAATGATTTTAAAAATTAATATAATAAAATACAAAATGTGATCAAATCATTGTAATCCATTGTACAACAGTAAAACATAAAAACAAATAATATATTGAGTTAAAAAGAAAATGTATAAATATTTCTATGACAACTATTTTTACTTTATATTTTAGGCTTTATCATTAGTCATTAGTTCATTTTAAAACTATTTTATATAGAAAATATTAATTTTACATTTTGTTCGATATAGTTAGTATAACTTACACTTTTTGATGTTATTTTATGGTATACAAAATCATCCATTGAATTACTATTTTAAGAGTCATTTGTTTACTAAGATCTATTTAGATGATACTTAGCCATAATAATAAATAATGATACTTAGCAAGTTATTAGTAAAAAAATGTCTGTGATCTAAATTCATACGGTTTTATTAAATCGATTTTAAGCACACAATCAGACCTTAGTTTATTTTTATAAAGGGATTATGTAAACGTTATTTACTAGGTCTATAATGGTCAATGGTGGATAACTATGCTCCTATCAGTTTGATCACTCGACCAGAAAATTAGAATAGATATTTATTAGTTATAATGGCTTACTTTATGACCCGTACGAAAGCATATGCCCTTAAAACTAAGTTACGAATTAACATATCCCTAAAACATTTACACTTTCGTTTTCCTTTTGTTAAAAACAATTCGTAAAAATGCAGTAGCTCATAACTACAAAATTAAGTTATGAATAAAATAAAAAATATATATGGTTTTATATTATTCTTTAGATAAAAATATGCACAGTTTATTTTGATTAATTAATTTAGCCAACAAATTATTTTTATCAAAAAATATTCACTATAAAATGTAATGTCGAATGTATAAATAATTTTTATTTTTAAAAATTACATGTCATTTCCAAGCATGGTCAAAATTATTATTTTTGTCCTAATAACTTAAAAAACAGGTAAAATAGAATAAAAAACATAATTTTTATTAAATTTGGTAAAATTTAATTTTTTGATTTCGAATTTCAAGTTTGTTAAAAGAAAAATTATTTTAACTGAATTACAGTTAAAATATTAAGTATTTCAATGTATCAACATTTTAATAAAATCTAAATTAATTAGAAAATACTCAAATTATGAAAAAGCATTACAGCTTGAATTTTTTGTGCTATAAATATTAAAAGCTATTTATCCAAGTTTTGTACTGTACATTATGTAAAATTAAATGAGCGATCTATATAAAGATCGCTCTAATTAAAAAATAATTTCAAATTATGGAAATAGTGTTATTTAAATATCGATAAAATTAAATAGGTACTTACCACCAATTCGCTTTAGAAAATGAGAAAAGAATAACTATCAAGAAAATCTTAATATTCGGCATCATTTTTTATGTTTAAAACAAATGATGAATAAAAATGACTTAAAATTTAAACTTTTGTATAATAAAACAACCTGGCATGGTCAAAATTAATCATTGCTTATTAAATTGTATCCTAGTGGTCAAATTATAATTTTGATATAGCGAAAATAAACGTTTTTTTTCTTTGTAACTGAACCTCAACCGACTACTTGGGGATGCTTCTGGCAACTGAAACCGAATCACTGACATTATCCGCAGCTATTCCCTTCAGTCAGCCCTCATAATAGTCATCAAAGTATTTTATACGTGGAAGGTTGAACATATCGTTTAATATAAATAACAATAAAGACATTTTTCTAACAATTTACCTTCATTATCGTCATCACAATAGTTTTTTCTTTTTAAAATTTAAGAAAGCGCTATTAAATGTCATATTAAATGTTAATAAATTTAAAATAGTTTTAAACTCTGTATAAAATTTTAAGTTTATAGTGAAAGAAAAATTTTTAACTAGTTATACTTTGAATGAAATACATATTTTGTTTGTAGTAAAAAATAAAATAAATAATTCGTTAAAAAAAGCGTTTCACAAAAAAACGTTTTGTTAAAAATTGTTAGCAGTTATTGAAAAATAAATTTTATGGGAAGGTTTTTCAATGTTTTTTGAATTACAGATGTAATTGGAAAATACAAAAACAAAATAGAATACCTTAAGTGTTTAAATTATTCTTTTAGCTTAATTAACCCATCACGTTAATAGCTTGTCCATGATAGTCTAATAATAAAAGATATGCCTATTATAGCCTATATATATTTTTATATTTTGAATTTAAGTTCTGAGTGATTTTTAAATTAAAACTACAGTGATTTTATAAAAAATCATTTATTACTAATATGTTTATTGGAATACTAATAACTAATAATGTAAATTTATTTTAATTGTATATTAATTTATCAGCAACTTTGTAATGAGCAATATTTATTACTTTTTTGATAGTAAATATAAAACTACTATTTCAGAATAGATAGTAAATTTTTAAATATTCAGTTAAGTATGTCTTAGTATGAAAGACATGCCATCATACGTAACATATAATATGCATAAATTTAATGTACAGTGAAACCTTCTTTTAACAAAAATGCTGGGACCAAACTTTTTTCGGTTGAGAGGATGTTTTTGTGTAATTGAGGTTTCCGACTAATATAAGGTCCTTTGAAAAGAGGTTTTACTGTATAACATTGTAAACCAAGTTGTGGCGACGACAAGTTTTGTTGGGTCCAGGTCAAATCGTCTGTGGATGTGCTCCGAATTTTTTCATAGAGGGCCTAATACTTAAAAATATTTAATACTCCCTCAAAATTGTACTTTTAATTATAAATATTGATTTTTATTTTTATTATGCGTGGGTTTTAACCACTATCTCTTACACATGGTTTTAATTAGAGAGATTCATATTTTGAAAATAATAAATAACAAATTCAGCATATACATTATACTACCTATGAACTTTTAGTGTTTTTATTCGAGATTAAAACTGTCAAAAAAAGCGTCCTAGTTTTTAATTAGCCTGACAAGTGGATTGAAATAACAGAATATAACAAATTATCTCACTTTTGTTTCATTTTTAAAACAGATAACAAAGAATATCTAATATTTCCAAACTCATTAAAATGTTTCTTTGCCACTTTTTTCCATATATAATTAGTTATTATATGTTTTTATTAGCTTAAAATTTAAACAACAATTACAATAAATTATGACTATTAATGTCAAAAATAAAAACAATTAATTTTTATTGAGAGAGTTTTCTTTGATCTAGTACTATGGTTTGACTTTTTTTTTTTTTAACTTATATAAAATATAAAAAGCTGGTATCAATTTACACAATTTTCAAAGACAGTTGAATGTATTATACATTTTGTATAATATATCAATTAAAAATTATAAAAATACATCAAAACTTTAATGTTTTAAACACAAAGAAAAACTTTACATAAAATAATATTTCACTTTATAATAGAATTTACAATAAATATTTAACAAAATTGTATTTTCAAACTTATATAAAAATTCAATAATATTTTTTTAGATACACAACTAAATTCAGTATAAAAAAATTATACTTAAAATCGAATTAAACATCAATTTTTTTTTGTGATTCTAATAAACAAAATCATTTCTGAAAAAAAAAAAAGAATCATGTATGAATATTAGTTTACCTATAAATGTATTTTAAATTAAATTGTATGGGACTTACTTATAAATATAGCAAACATAGCTACTGCTAAAACCCATATCCAACACCTCCACGAACTTTTTCTTACAAACTCAGATAATCGCTGTTCTTCACGTTTTAAATTTTCAAAATTATCATCCATACCCTTGGATGATTTTTCTAGAACCTATAAAATATTACAAATTTTAATATTTAATTTGTGATACAATATTTCATTAACACAGACATATTTACAATGCACATACAACTTTTTTAATATAAGATTAAGAAATTCTCTTACATTAACTTGAATACTATTAGAGACTTAAAATACAATAACAATCACTCTTTCTTACTTCAATATCTTTTTTTATAATTTTTCCTGCTAATTCTGAATGTTCTCGTAAACTTTTAGTAATAGACATTAGTTCTTCAGCAACAGATTCTTGTTTGTTTTGATGATGCTTTAATAACTCATCTAAGTTATCACTACTTTCAATATTCGAAGAAGTTTTTAATTCATCTACAAAAAGAAATTTCTCTAAAATCTTTCTAAAATAACATCTTAATGTTATGGTTAACTTAATACTAATGAACAAATTATAAAGTTGCAAACTAAATAAAATATATATATAACATACTTCCAAGTAATTCATCTCTGAGTTGATTTGCATAAGTTATTTTGAATTTTTGTTTAATATTTTTTGAACGACTATTATTTACATGTACTGGTTCTAACATTTCTAAAGCTACTAATTTTTCTTCAGTATTTTCCTGATAAGTTTTATTATAAAATTAATATATACTATTTATATGGTTGAAGTTAAGAATAATAAATTACTATGTCTTTAGTATTCAAAAATCCTTTTAAAAACTCCATTCTCTTAGTGTATTCATTAATTATGTCTTTTTCTATATTGCTAAAAAAAATAATTATAAATTAAAACAATATTGTATTAATATGAATACACTAAATATATTATACTAATTGATTTATTAAAACAGTGATACAAAAATTCTAAATAATTCAATATTATTAAAATAATAAAAATTAACGGAACACCACAAAAAGCATTAGAAAAAATCAGCAGAGACGCATATTTTGATAATGATATTTTCAAAATATGCGTATCTGCTGATTTTTTCAAATACTTTTTGTGGTGTTTTATTAATATTTTTTATTTTTATTAATTAGCCATAAGTAGTCAATTATAAATTTTTGGGATTAACTTACTTAATTTTTAATATTCAATATTATTATACATAATTAAGGTGAAGTAGGATAATTGTAACTGAATTTCTTTAAATAAATGTACAATTATTTATTTTGATCTTACATTTAATATGATTGCAAAACATATAAAACAAATTGTTTAATTTAAAATAAAATCTACTAAATATCCTAAAAGATAAAATTAATTTACAATTACCCCATTTATTTACATTTACCTCATGTGACCCTATTTATTAAAATATACTTATTTAATCCCAAATTTATTGATATATCTCTTAAATACTAAATTCTTAAATTTGTTTTTATAAAGGTATTTATAATAATATTGAATATTTTTCAATAAATCATGTTTTCCTTTAGTTTAAAATTTAAAAAAAAATGTCTAAATAATTTATAAATAGTAGAATTAAAAAAAAAAAATTACAATTACCTTTTCTTTATTAACTCTGCTATCATTTCACTTACAGCTTCTATATACTAAAAAATAAAAAACATATTAAATCAAACAAGTATAAAACTGACACCAAGATTAAATTTAATATTTCTAAATAATGGTACATTAAAATAATTAAATATATCATTTCCTTAATTGATGCATTACTGAAACCTCCAAAAAATTAAAATATGAAATAATAATAAATTAATAAAATTCAAAGGAATATTAAAAATTACTTTGCTAAGTCGCCAATCATCCGATGAATTATTTTGAGCCATTTCTTCACATACTGCTAGCAGTCTTTTTACATCTATTTGTAATCTTTTTACACTCATGATATCTTTTGAAAAGTTAAATATCACAACAGGTTTTATTTTATTTTTTTAATTAGTAAAAATAATTAACAAATACTAAAAGAAAAAAATTTAATTAATCAATAATAATTATAAAAAAATAAAACTTTTAGTTAACTTGATTTTTAACATGTTTAAAAGTTGTATATTCTAATTTACGAAAAATGTTTAAAATACATTCAAATCTGTCCAATTATTGTCAATGTTTTAAATTGTAGAATTTTATCAGGTATAAGATGATTACATGTGGACATAATCGAATATAAGGAATGATAACTTTTATCAATACTTTTATTATTGTATTTTTTGTGATAATATTTTGAATTTCTCGATTACGGCTGATATCACACAAATACAGAACACGTGAGTTTTGATTCTTGATAAACTTTGTTAACGTGAATGAAGTAATAATGTTATTTAAGATTTGTATTGATATTTTGATACTGTATTAGTAGGATGATATACGTTTAATATTTTTACTAATTAAAATTTTTGTTAGTTAAATTTTTTTTTAGTTTTAAAACATGAACGACTTTAGTAAAAAAGATCTTGTGAAGTATTTTGACGATGAACGAAAAACTCTTCCAGTGACATTAAAAAAAAATGAACTATGTAAATTAATTAAAGAATACGAAACATTAATAATTATTGGGGAAACTGGAAGTGGCAAGACAACTCAAATTCCTCAATTTGTTTATGAACAAGTTCTAGGTACTAATGAAGATGTTGTAGTGACACAACCAAGGCGAGTAGCTGCAATATCATTAGCTGAACGTGTATCATTTGAAGTAAATACTGAAATAGGAGATTTGGTTGGATATCGTGTCAGATTTATTGATAAAACAAATCAATTCACTAAGATAAAATTCATGACAGATGGAATGTTGTTAAGAACTGCCATATTAGAAAAAAGCTTGTCTTCATATGGTTGTATTATATTAGATGAAGCTCATGAACGTACTGTAAATACTGATCTCTTATTTGGTATTGTTAAAAAAGTTCAGGCTAATCGTAAAAATAGTCAAAATCCTTTAAAAGTAATTGTAATGTCTGCTACAATGAATGCTGATTTATTTGCAGATTATTTTGGAAATGCTCAAATTGTTTATTTACAAGGTAGGCTTCATGACATAAAGATTTTTCATACTAAAAAAAATGTCGAAGATTATTTTCATGATACTTTTGTTACAATATTTCAGTTACATAAAGAAGCACCAGAACGTCACGACTTTTTGGTATTTCTAACTGGGCAAGAAGAGATTGAAAACATGGCCTTAGCCATTGAACATATAAATCAAGATCCTGCTCTTAGGAGCTATCCTGTAATAAAAGTACGAACACTTTATGCATCATTACCTACCCATGAACAATTAAAAGTATTTATGCCTTTAGAAGCTAATGAGTTTGCTAGAAAAATAATATTAAGTACGAATATTGCAGAAACTTCTGTTACCTTAACTGGAATCAAATATGTTATTGACTGTGGAAAAGTTAAAGTACGTTGTTTTCATCCTGAAACTTCAATGGATGCTCTAAAAATTGAAAGTATATCTCAAGCACAGGCTGAACAAAGAGCAGGTCGTGCTGGCCGTGAATCTGATGGTTATTGTTATAGGATTTTTTCTAAACAACAATATGATGCAATGTTCAAAGATCCTGTGCCAGAAATTCAAAGATGTAATTTAGGAACTGTAGTATTACAAATATTAGCTATGAATATTGATCCATACAAGTTTGATTTTATAAATAAGCCTTCAAATGATGCAATTAATCAAGCTTATAAAATGCTTGAAAATTTAGGAGCTACAAAAAACCAATGTCTTACTGAAGTTGGTCTTAAAATGACTAAATTTCCCTTAGATCCAAGATATTCTAAAATAATTCTTTCTTCTGTTAGTTATGGATGTTTAGAAGACATTGTAAACATTGTATCAATTTTATCAACCGATTCTATTTTTGTATCAAGTCTTTCAGAGAAAAAGAAGAAGCAGGCTGAAGATGCTCATATGAAATTTAAATCATCAATAAGTGATCATATAATGCTTTTAAAAACATTCCGTTCTTATAGGAAAATAAGAAAAGATATAAGAGCAAGTTGGTGTGATGATAATTTCATTAATTATCGTAATTTAGAATATGCAGAACGTGCTCGTGAACAATTACTTGATATATGTCGGAATTTACATCTTCCATTAGGTCTATCATGTGGAGATAATTTTGATCCTATCAGAAAATGTTTGTTAACAGGATTTTTTGAAAATATAGCATATATAACTCAAGACAAAAAATATGTTACACTTAATGCAAAAAAGGAATGTAAAATTCATCCTACTTCAACACTATTTCATTCATATCCTCATTGTATATTATATACAGAAATTATTGAAACAAGTCAACCATATATGAGGTATGTCACTGTTGTAGACAAAGAATGGTTACAAGATATAGTTCCTAATTTCCATCAACGTCATAATTATCAAATACTGATGAATAATGAAGTATAGTCTTAAATCAATTAACTCACACTTTATAAATTTTTAAAAATAACGATTCTTTAACTTATTTCTTATTAACTGATAATATATTTATATTTTACAATCCTAATCATTTGTTTATTTTTATAAAAACTTACCCAATGGTAATTAAATAAAGAATTGTTAGTTAAATTTTTAAATGATACTATTTTTATTTTGTTATACATTTTTAATAAACAAAATATTATGTTAGTAAATAAAAATAAACATTTAAATTATATTACCAGTAATATAATTGAAAATTTAATTTTAAAATTTTGAAGTTTAAATGATAAATGATAAAATGTTTTAATATGGAGTAGTTTAGTTTTGGTTTGCAGACAAACTAGCATTAAACTATTAAATTATAATTTAGTAGAAAATAATGTTAAGTTTTAATTATTAAGTAAAATAATTATTAGATAACAGATTTTAAATTATACGAATATTTAAGTAATCATATCGATTTGTAGTTTAAAAATATTCATCTATTAACCCATTGTTCATTTGTTCATAAAACTGAATTTTTATTTTAAAAAATGTACTACTATAAACTTAATAAATATTATGTTACATAACTACAAAAAATATTTTTAAATTTTAAATGGATATTCGTCATCACAATTTTCTTCTATAGAATCATTAAATGTTATATCTTCATCAATACTATCATTAAAAATTTCTTCATTATAATTATTCCTTGCAATGTATGCTTTTGCTTGCTGTATTTTTCTTTTTTTTACAAAATCTGAAAATGATACATACTCTATTTGACTGTTCTGATTATTTGTATTGCTATTTTTTACAATATTTTGAGTAATATTAAATTGACGGTGGACTGCTTTTGATTTTTGAAGAGCTAAAGATATCTAAAATAATTTATAAAATTAATCATTGACGTATATTTAATAAGAAAATATTTCTTTATACTTTTAAAGTGATCGCTGCATGATCTAACCCCATTACATCCATTTTCATTGGAGGTATTTCTTTTTCTTCTTCCTCTTTTATTATCTCTTGATCTTCTAATTCTTTAATTTTGCACTAGAAATTACAAAAACTATTATTATATTATAAATAAAATTAAAAAAAGAATGGATATTATAGTGATGAAAGAAAATCTAGAAATATATCTGTACTTTAGATCAAAAAAGGTTTATTCAAATAATAATAAATAATGTCTATTTTCAAATAACTACTGTAGAAAAACTAAGTATGTTGATATTATCTGAATTACCTTAAAAAAGAATTCTCATTCTACTAAAGGAAACTTAAATCATGTTGCAAACATACTTAAGGATTCTAAAGTAAATATTTGAAATTGGAATTTCATTTTTCCTTTTCTTGACTCAAGGTACAAATATATTGTTAAATTATAAAAATAAAATGTGGCATATATTAATTGAATAATTTGTCATTAAAATATATGTGTACTACAAAATAAATAAATGGGAGGAGGTAGAATTCCCTGATTGTTAGAAGTTTGAAATTATTGAGTAAGTAAAATTATTGATCAATGTTTCATAAAATAGGTTTAAATTAGTAAAATTAGATTTAAGTACTAATTTATATAAAGTTAAGAACTTTAACCAATGTATCTAATAACAATTAAAAAACTTCAATTTTATTGAAAATTTTTTTGAAATTACAAAATAGTTGTAATTTCACAAAATTACAACTGTTTTTAAGATAACTTAATGTTTTGATAAATATGTAAGAGTAGCAAACCATCTTCTCAAGAGTTAAAATAGATAGTGAGTATGGAATGAGTGTTATTTTATTATTTCTTAATTAACTTAATAGATTTTAAGACTACTTGTTATATAAAAAGTACAATTATATACTAATCATATATCAGGTATGAATCCAGAATTTTTCAAGGAGAGAGCACAAAAAATTATTTAGACATCAAAATCAATATTTTTGTTAATTGTATCATTAAAGACCTTTTTTCCTTTTATTTAAGTAAGCAACAATATTTAAAGAGGCCCTCTCCTTGATGCGCGAATGTTATAGATTTAAAAATATTATAGATACTATGCGTTACTTTTATTTCTGGTTCAAAGTTAGTAAAAATGGTTTGATAATTATCCATTAATGTAGGACATGTAGGAACAAAATCTTCTCCAAAATCTGCTTTTTTTAATAATTCATTAACAGCTTCAACATTGTCAAATGTTTTATCTTAAATTCAATTAAAATTATTTTTAACAAATAATTAAAATGTTTTCTATAAAATCATTGTAAATTACCTCTGAAAAATCGAATTATAGGTACTTCTCCCATAATTCGTAAATTTGATAATTCATGTCTTAGTAGTCCACTAATACTATGTAATAAAATTTCTAATTCAGGTATATCATTAATTGATCTTGATAACCAATACACTTTAACTGATTTGTAATCACTTGAAATACTTACCTATGTAAAAGTAAAACATTTTTAATTAAATTAGAATATAGTTTTCAAATTAAATTTACCCTGGTAATTTCTAGACCATATCCAACTATCTTATCAAATATTTCACCAGTAGTCATTAAGTCAGTGATATATTGCATTAAAATATTATTCAATACATTAACACGTTTATTTTTGCTATGACCAGATTCATTCTTGGTAGTTTGCTTAATAATTTCTTCAAAAGACTTATTTGCTCCAACACTAGACTGGTACCAATTTTTTCTAAAAATAAACTATGTAAATACATAAATATTAATTAAATCATAATAAGAACATACTTTGTCTTTTTACGTAGACCCATCACTTTGTTCATCATTTTTCCTTCAATTGACGATGCATAATGCCGAAGTATGATAGGCTTATTAAATAGTAACTTATTTAATAATTGACAGAACACAATTTCAGATTTCATTCGCATATTTTTCCAAAAAATACTTATAATAAATTATAATATAAGATTCAGTCATCCATAGGTTGTAAAAACCTTTAGGGGTAGTACAGTATTTATATATATTTATATATTACAACTGTCTTTATCACAATTTTACAGGTTTCTTAAAAAAAAATCTTTATTTGTTTAGTACTTTAATAATTAAGAATTCTAATTAATTAACCATTACAAAAATAATACAATTAAAATAAATGATTTAATTTGAAACACAGATTATCTTATCGAATATCTTATCAGTGTTCAAATTTTTTTCAATACAATTAGGAAACATGCCCGAAGAACATTTTATAATCATCGCTCATGTCGTATTTATTGGATGTACTTACTAAAATAAAATTGTCCACCTATTTTAAACAAAAAAAAATTGTATCTTAACCGTGTTTTTATTTATGATATGGGGGACCGGGGGTGATATGACATCATATTTCATCGTAATTACGACTGTAATCATCACTAAGTAATTTGGAAGTCTTAATTTAAAAAAAAAATCTAAAACATTTTTCAGTTTAAATACCATTACGTTAATTTTATTTTAGCTACCCAAAAATTTTCGATGAATTCTCATTTTTCAATTTCGCCTAAGATTATGATCTGATTTTATAAAAATAATTAAGTATATCAGTATTTAAAAGAAAACATGTATATTAATTAATAATAAGAGATGTGGATTATATCAAAGAAAGTATTATTAATACAATAATAAATAATAATTAAGTTAAGGATAAATATGTTTATTTAAAATTTTCCTAACTATTTGAATCAGAGTGAAGATTCTCACTCTGAATTAAATAAACTTGTGAACAAGTCCATTTAAATCAAAATAATTTTTTAATCAATTTATAATCAAATAATAAATATTGTTTAATGCACAAATAATTCAAATCCTTGTGTTCAAATATTGCATTTGATGTTTGATAATTACAGCTAATTACAAAAACAATTTTTTGTACCAAAATAATAGCAAAAGTAACTTATTCCCCTTTTCTTAGTTAGTAATTTACTTTTATATTGTAAAACATTTTTTGCATTAAATATGTAATTTTTAAATTTATATGAAAATTTGATAAAGTTTAAATTTTTGACTTTAAATTCTTCTAAGACAATTCCAGTCGAAGTATTGACGTCAACATCATGATCATTGGTAAACAGTTTCTGCGTCTTCTTCAACAACTGTGCAAATTAAGATCATCTCATTTGACATTGATTGTCTTTAATTAGAAAGACACATGACATTGAAAGATTTGATTACTATTTAATATATTTTATTTATATTAATAACCATCCTAACAATAATAAAGAACTTATTGTTTAATAATTGCATTACAAACAATATATTTAAAGGTACTTTTTAATCATACAAATTATAAAAAAAACGAGTTCTAAAATATTCAAAAATTTATTTATTTTTCAATGATTTGTTAAACCAACTCAGATGAACCTTTACATATTGATTTTAAAATCATATGTAGTCATTTATTATTTTTTAATTTTATTAGATTTTGATAAAAAATTATGTCTGCAACTTTTTATTTTTTAAAACTAAAAATTTTTTAATAATTTATAGAATTTAAGTTTACAAATTTAAGTTAGTTAGAACTATTAGCATTATTTAATATATTAAAATCTTTTTTGAAAATACAATGAAAAAATATAAAAATCAGTAGATAAAATAAATTTTAAATTGTTAAACTAATTTTGATATCTATTAAAAAATTAACTATATCAAAGTAAAATTTATTATATTATAACAACTAATATCAATAACAATACATCAGTATTAATCATTAGAAATGTTCATACAATTTTTTTGTAAAAAACATTGATTTTTTCTTTTAATATACAAATAAAACAGTAATTTTAAACAAAATGCCAACAAGGTTTAACAACTAAAACCTTTTTTTACAATAATCATTTTAGAATATTTTATATAACTTTACAAGTAAAATAGTTAATATTTGATAAAAAATTAATTTTTTTGAAAGGCATAATTTGGAATTACTAGATACTTAGAAAATTCAGATAGATCTTTAACGCCCCTCACTTCTTTTTCTAATAGTGGAAGTTTTGTTACATGAAAGTCGAGATATAAATCATTGATCTATAAAAGTAATAAATTAATTTAGTATTAACAAGCATAAATTAATAAATTGCATGATCCAAACATTTACCTGTTGAAGATATGTATGTTGCAAAGCACGTCGAGATGAACACTTTTTGCAATTAGGATCAGAATCTCCATTATTTAAGTATAACTGATTTACAATAATATTATGAGTATCAATTCCATTTTTGGTAAGTTCTTGTACTAATCTTTCAGTTTCATACAAAGATAAAAACTCAGCAATGCACACACAAACAAATGTTGTTTGATCCTATAAATGAGTAAATAATAATGAATAAAAAAAAAATATATTTAATATATAAATTATAGTATCAATATTGAGTTTTATAACTTTAACACTCATAATTCAAATTTTATAATGATTGAATAGATGTCTCATCAATATCTTATATAAAACATATTTTTAGAAATTTTACTTTATACTAAAATTAAATTTAATAAAATTAAATATAGTAATACTTATTTTATTCATTAGTAATTAACCTTATTTCACCAATTTTTCTATGATAATTACAAATTATTTCTTTATAAAAAATATTTATTATCACTAATTTCACAAATATAACTTCTAGAAATTTTATTTATCAATATTTAAAAGTAAATAAATGTATAATTTAAAAAACCTAGCACAGCGGGAACAAGTATATATGATCTCTGATAGTGATTAAAATCAATATTAATAAAACGGTTTAATGCAAATATATTTAATTTCTGTTAGGAAATGACAATTTAAACAAGCCTTAACCTTTTATTTCATATAGACTTAAAGGACGCTTATATTCTTAAATATTTTCAAATTCGCTCACAAATAATATTTTTACTCAAAATTTAATATATTTTTTCTTTACTAACTGACTTTTAATAGTAGAAATTTTATACATATGTTATTACTATAGTTCACTTCATAAAATTTAATTATTTGGTATAAGTTTAAAGAAAGCAAATATTCTAGCACATTACCAAAAGTTGAAATGAAAAATAAAATTTGACATGCATAAGTAGTCTTGTTTAAAACCTTTACATACTCATACAAGTTTTTCATTCGATTTAGATAAATAGAATGCTACCAAAAAAAAATTATTTTCACTTGCATAATATATTTAAATTTCATAGAATTTTAATGGACATTAATAAAAAAACTTTGCTGATAATGATAATAATCTTATTTATAAAAATAATTCTTCGTAAGAGGAAAGAATAATTAATCATGTTTAACTTAATAAAAAATTACTTACTGAATTTTTAAATTGTTGGTTAACAGTTTTAATTGTAGCTAGTAATTCTTCCATTTTTCCAGATATATCATCAATGTTTATGCCAGCACTAAAAAGCATGCTCATTTGTTGAAGATATGGGCCAACTCTATTTTTAAGTTCTAATAATTTTTCTAAAGCTTTTTCAATCATTAATGGAAATGTTAATAGCCTTAAAGTATGACCAGTTGGAGCTGTATCAAATACAACAACAGAAAAGTCCATAGTTTTGACCAACCTACAACAAATTATTTTGATATATACACATACATATATATTCTATTGTTTTACTAAAAATAAAAATTTCAAGTTGTTTTTTATTTTTAGTAAAACAATAGAATATTTAGGATTATTATTGAGAACAATAATTTTGGAAGTGTAACAGATTTTCCATTATACAATATTCTATTTAAACAATAATATTAATATTTTTAAATTTTATTTAAATTAAAATACTCTTGTTACATTATACAAAGTTGTCCAGTTCATACTGGTATATATTTAAATTCATACTCCAACCACACTACACATCTACTCTGTATATTTAATTGCTTGAAACTGAATGAATAATCATCTTAAAATTATTATTTTCCTATTAAATGTTTTTGTAAGAAAAAATGATTTGAAATTTAAAATTTTTGTTTTTTAAAAATAAATAATAATAAATATGATATTTAAGGTAGTCTAAAAATGCATAAATTATTATTAAAAAAAAAAAAAGTAACTTAATATATTTATTAGATCAAGTTATTAGATATGTTAAAACATTGTGAACAACTCTGTATATCAAGTAATTCTAGTATCTTATACTTCTTCTTGAAAATGAAAATTATTTCAAATGCTTTTTTTTAATAAAAGAATGTTGTTTTAAAATTACTAATACTCAAGGAAGATCATTCACAATGTAGTTTAGAATAACACTTATTATTATAATTATCTTAGAATAATTATTTTATAATTTTAAAATTAAGTATCACTTCAAAAATAGAACAATCGATAATGTTAATTATAAGAGAAAGTTATAGAAATTAATGCAAAATTTATTTATTTTTTTAAAATAAAATACGACACACATACTTCATTACTTGAGCATAACTCATAGATTCGTCAATTCCAGGAAATGCTCCTATTATATCTTGTAAAATACTTTTTCCAAGTTTTATTGTATCAGATTCATCTTCTCCGCTTAAGAGCTGTTCAGTTTCATTACTGTGAACTTCAGGATCAATTTCCTAGTAAATTCATGATTTTAAAATCATAGTAATAACATTTTACACATATAAAATTTATAATACCATAGCAAATAAGTTGTTAAATCCATCTACTTTGGTAGGAGCTTTAGTAAATTTTTGCCCAAATGCGTCTGATATATTATGTGCTGGATCAGTTGAAATCAAAAGCACAGATTCACGAACCTTAGCTAATTGAATTGCTAAACTACAACTAACAACAACACATTAATTTTAATAAATAATAAATAGAAAATAAGTTATTTTATTTTATTAATAAAACAGTATTTTATTATGTATTTATATGTTTAGCTTATATTTGATGTTTCGAATTTTCCGAAGACCACAAGATATTGTGTAAACTATTAAGGGTAAATAAATAATCAAGATTATCAGAAAAAACTAAACAATTAATACATTTACAATTTCTTTAATAATTATTTACCTGCAGGTTGTTTTGCCAACACCTCCTTTACCACCAACAAATATCCATTTTAAAGTATCTTGATTAATTACATTTTGCAAAGATGGTTCGAGTTCATCTTCATAATTAAGAACAGTGTTTTCCATATTTTTTTATTAATTATAAACAAATTAAAGACTTCAAAAAAATTACTAATTTAAATTTTTATATACATATACAACAACAAAATCACACAAATTTATTTTAACTAATCATCTAAAATTTTAACTAGTTACAAAATGTAATGATTACTATAGTTTTTTTAAAGAAGGGGTAAAAAAGAGAATGACTCGTATGTAGTGATAACAGAATACGATTCTTTACAGCCCAAATTGGAGATATGCGTTATCAGTTCTCCGTGGGTTTACATTTATTTGCCTACATAAGCCCCTCAATAAGTTTATATTTTTCATTACATATTGGTAAATTAAAAACCAAATGTTATTATAAATTAATTATTTATTATTATTAATTAAAAATAAAAATTATAGTAAATAATATTATTATAATTATTATTTTATTTTTCAAAAATAATTATTTAATCATAATGTAAATTGAATATTTTCATATTTTACTATATTTTGTTGCTTAACTTTAATAGACTTGCAATCTATATACAAATATATAAAGTAAAAAGATAATTATTAAAAATAAATTAAATCGATTGGTCGAGTTAGCATTCACCATATATTAATTGTTTGAAGTTTCTTATTCAGCGTTCAGCAGAAGAAAATGTAAATACACATATCAACATAGTCGGATCCAAATCTTTAATAGACAGTACATAAAATCAAAGCCACTTGCAAATCACTTGATAGTCAAATTACAAGAAATAGTTTTATAAAGGTAAGTGAACAAAAAAATATTCATTATAATATGAATTATTTAAAAAAGCTATTGATTATTAAAACTTCCTATTAGAAAAGCGTTTTCTATGTTCTATCTGAAAATAAAATTCGCTTTTATACAAGCAAGTTGTAATGGTATAAAGATTTTTATTTAGTATGTTACAAGAGTTAATTTTAAAGAGAGGCATTGTGTTCACAAAAATTTGCCCTTTTTTAAAGAAATTTTTAAATAAAATTCTTATACACAAATTTATTAGACATTGGTTTAAATCTTTAATAATGATTTTTTAATAACGTACATTTTAAGTGTTTAATACTCCTGTAACATTATTAAACTCTAATAAGTTCCCACCGAAGCGTTTTATGATTGTAATTTTTAATTACTGAACGAATCTATATTAGTTCCAACTATACCGGTCTCGGCTATACTATAATCAAAATGCTTTGATTAAAAAAAAAATCATACTGCAAAATATTTTAATTACTACACAAGTAATATCAAAGTATAGCAACTTTTATAAAGTAAAAATAATTACTGTCATTAAGTGATTTAAAAAAACGTCCATTGTTGTAAATGAATACATATCAATAGAACGATTTTATCTATTCAATTATTGTATCAATATGTACATTTGGTTGCTGTATTATTTTATTATGAGGCGCACTTTAAATATATTAACAAAAAAAAAAAAAAACGTTTTTTCTGTTAAGAATGATGGATGTACATAAAAATTCAATTATATCTACTTAAAAATTATATAGTCGCAAACACTTGGATTAAAATTTAATTATTTTTTTTAGTAACGAATAGAAAAAGTTTATGAGTTTTCATTTAAATTTTAATACAAACAGATAACTATTATAATATCATAATTGAAATTTATCAACGCGATATTCTATCCCTTCAGACGGACTTTTCAGGTTTCAGGAATCATGACCAGTATTATCCTTGGACTGTAATGAAATTAACTGGTTTGGGTTCGCGTGGCGCGCGCGCGATCAAGTTTTATTAATTAAAATTTCAGAGGTGATCGACGGCGTCTCAGTCCGTGCCACGGCGACGCGGCGACTTACACACCGGTCCAACAACACGGTGGAGGGCAACAGTGGCCCACCCACAGCGGCCACACAAGAAGACGACACCGAGACCACACGCGCGCCGCGCCAACATGGTCGTCGTCATGCTCCGGCCACTAGTACCACCACCAATACTACCGCGGTCGTCCCAAAACAACGAATAGTCGTTCACACACACACGCACACCAAAGCCGCGTCAACTTGTGTTAACGACGACGGCAACTTAATCATTCGTACGATCGTAACTATAGTAATAATAAATAGTGACAGTAATAATATTATGATTATTACTAAATACAATATTCAATTATTGTTTATTTTACATGGGCGTTTGTATTTGACGCGCATCCGTTCGGTTGAGTAATATTTTCGTACGGCAATGACGGTCGTAAAATTCCACATGTCCCACGACCCAATATTGCTTACATTCCGTCCCATATGACCGTAACACGATCTACAAGCGGATTGATTCATAGAGCACGGATTCGGCGGTATTCGTTGGAACAGTGTAGAGTTCATCAAACGGTTTATGTGTACTGTCGCCCGTAACAGTATCAAATCTCAGATGCCATCGACTCTTTTTCGTGAACACGATCATCGGTAGACACCCACGGCGTTTATGACTTTATGCAAAAAACTGAATTTCACGCTTTCTGTGTAGTTATACACGTTATGTACATGCATACTATTAGATGTATGCATACAAGTATGCAACGGCAATAATTGTCTATAATGGACAATAAATTTGAAGCAACGTCCTTCGTATGATCATGTGCCTATGTAGTCTGCAGACAAATACCATTAAGTTTTCCCATAACATGTTCAAATTGCCATATTAAATAGAGATTATGAGCTATTATAATATTTCGTTTTGTTATGCTTGTAAATTATAACTGACAGGGTGAAAAATTTAATGACATTTAACTACAGTTGTTTTTTAAAGGTAAAAATGTAGTATGATAACTACTTTCTAGTTCTAGACTTTTATGATGCTTCAAAATTCTAAATACTAATCTGCAAACTGGTTAGCTCGAAAAGACCATAATAAAATCTTGAACTTGATTATTTTTTATTTAGGTTGTTACTATTTATTGATAATGCAAATTATATATTTGTACTTGATTGAAATTCCGATTTTGTGATGAATAACACACTTAACACAATATATTAAATAACCCATAACACACCCCCTGATTATTAATTTAATAATTAAACTTTTGCCTGTTGATTCGTCGATTAACATATGTTTTGACAGTTTAAATGTGTAGTTATCAATTTATCATTTTGTAAGTACACAGTAAAAAAATAACGCTAAATTTCAACAAGTTATATGAAATGAATGTAAAAAAAACCAGATATGAGTTGTTTTACTCATAAATTATTCTTACAAGTTTACCCAAATTTTTCGTAAATTTCAACGAAAATCAGTTGACTGTTTTTTTGTCACATATTTTGTGTAAATTTTAATCTAAAATTTTTTTCTGTGTCAGTATTGAATAAAATGTATTTTAAGACCACACCGTGATAATTAAAAAAACTTACGTTTCCACTTTCTCAGTTATTTGTCAACTCCTTTAATAAAATGTTTATTAGTAATAAAAATGTTGAAATTGTGTCAAATTAAATTTCAGAGTAAGCCGAGTTATTCGGGCTAAATAGAAATAATATATAGGAAAGAATGATTAAAACTTGAGTAGGTTTGGGGTGAAAGTGAAAGTCACTTTCACCCCTAAAGAAGTCGAGTATTATTCTATATCTTAGAACGTGATTTTATTTTTTAAATATTTGAGCTCATTACATTGGAGGAGTAATAAACATTTTTTTTGGTATATATAACTATGAAAAATTCTTGAGCAAGTCATATATATATATATATATAACACTGTATTATGTTGAATTTATTATTTTTATTCAAATAACCTACTTAATTTAACTTTAGTTTTTTACGATCAAAGTAGACATTATTTACCATTATAGTTACCATAGTAAAATGTTTATTATCAGTAGTATATCTGTAACGAAATTCGATAAAAGAAATAATATCTCAACTTGAATAGTTAGTTTGAAAAATAAGCAAATATTTTATAAGTATACAAAAAATTAAAACAAAGAATTTCTGACGGCAAAACCAAAATTTATTCATTAATACACATATTAAGATTGTAATTATTAAAATTTGTGTTTCGAAACATACACAAACATATGAATCATACATAGAAAATAAGTCATATCTTGTCATACAAGTTAACTAACCCTCAAGTTTTTACGTTATATATATTTTTTATATTGATATATATATTTATTTAAAAATATATATCCGATAATTTACCTGTCATATAATAAGATTAATTTAACTATGATGGAAAATAAAAATTTATTGATAAGATAAAAACTATTTGAGTTGTCTAAGAAAAAATAATTTATAAATTGCTTTCGTGGCGGCTAAAATAATTAATTGTTGTTGACATCGTTATTCTAAAAGTCAAAGTCTTTGGTTTTTTATTTATTTTTATTAATATATTTTGTAAATTAACTCGGTAACACATCCCGTGGTGTTATTTAGTCGTATAATGTGTTATGTGTACAATGTTAAATATACTATAATAAAAAATGAAGTGCTCTTCATCTACGTTAATAGCGTACAATTGATTCCATTTACAATTCAGCCGAATAGAAGAAATTGATAGAAACGCTGTCGAAGTGAATTGGTGAGTCGCGACCACCCACGTCCCCAAGTACACATGGGGTTGTGTTCACAGTAATATAAGAAAGCGAGATGAATATAATGGTTTTATATAATTACTATGCAATATATAACCGTATATTGTAATACCAGGAACAAGACATCACTTGTGATGTTGCCCGAACACATGGCTTGGTATATAGTGAAATTTTGAGGAAAATAAATAACAGCCCCTTCACTCTAAATTTTTGGAATCTCTTATGATACTTACAATTTAAATATACTTTTAAGTGTAACCAAAAATAATATATAAACCAAAACATGAGAACCATTGACACCATAGGCAGAATTATATATTTTTATTCGTTTGGGTACCTTGTGATATACATATTTTCAGTGGATTTGTTCACAAGTAGTATTGGCAGAATAAGAAATAGGATTTAAATGGGCTGAACATTTCCAAAACTAAAATTAGCCATCCAAAATATTTTGAACTGAAACAACTCCTATTTATTTGTTAAATAATGATTTTTTTTATAAAAATTTAATTAATATTTATAAACCATTGTAAATATCAAGTATACTGTATGAAAAATTATTCATATGGATAGATTTTCGGGGTAACTTCTTAAGT